GAATTTCATTAACACTTGGATAGTTTGCTTTTGGAGCGCGCTGCAACTACCATTGACAGTAGTTTTTCCAACAATTTTTGATAAATTATAGTAAATTGGGTGATTTTTGATTTCTTAGAATGTATTTGAAGCCTAGCTAAAATCTGATTTTTGCTCAGCTCGTTATTGCAAGTTTGTTTTCTTTAATCTTGGATTAGATCTGGTTGTGTTATTAGTTTTCATCCAGGTTCTTTGCAGTCTGAAATCTAGATTACTACCCATATAATGGTAGAGGAGCGGTTCCTTGACGAAAATTTATCAGAGAAATGCATACAGTATTGCCTTGTTAGTTCTCCCTGGTTATGAAGGCGCTGTTAGTTTTAACGCAATTGTGAAGGCACTCTGCATCGTGTTTTCTTCGATCTCTGTCAATGTTATTTATTTTATGCTGACATAAATTCCATTATTTTTGAATATGTTACTGTCATTCTTGTTGTAGTTGGATGCTTCTATGGTGTATGGTGTTTGCCGTTGTAACTGTCATTCCAAGTCCAATGTGGAGGGAATTAGATGGGAAGGGGATCCAGTCGGTAGATGGATTCTGGTGTTTTGTTGAAGAAAACGGAATACTTCATTCATGACTTCATATATGTTAGTCCTTATTGTTTTGTTGAAGAGGATAAGGAGCAGGAGACATTTAAGGCTAGCAGGAATATTGGACTTAGAGCATATGTTGTCTACCCAATATTGGAAATTTCTTTTCGCGAAGGTGCTAGAAAACCAACTCAACATGCTCTTATTAAAGTCAGAATATTCTATAGACCAGAAGATATTTCAGTAGTGTAAGAGCTTGTTTGAGCTCTAGCCTGTTAATGAAAGCCATGGTCAAGCTCGGCTTGAGCTCGATTCATATTAACATTGTTGGGCTAGTTAAAGAGTACTTTATTTAAGAAATTAGAATAGATACACGAATTTTGACTTTTTCTTGTTTGGTTATTATTAAACTCAGTAAAATTAAAACACACTCGAATTTATATTTTCCCAAAATAGTTAAAAAATCCTCCATTAAAAAATACTGTCAAAATCGGACGGAAAGCCAAAATCTCGTGCATCTCTTTCCCCTTACGTTTGGAAAAATATTACATCAAGACTCCGAGCTTAGAACTACGTTCGGATTGAAATATCCCACTGTGTTACATGAATATTTCATCTGCGTATTCGTAAAAAATGAATCGTTATTCGAGTATTATATGATGCTATTCGATTATTTTGCAGTGTTATTGGAATATTCACCACGTTACTTGATTTTGAGATATGTTATTCGGCATATTCCCCGTGTTATTTCAATTTCGACTGTGTTATTGGAATATTATGTTATTGAAATAACACAACATCAAATGAAGTATCTCTAAATCAAGCAACGCAGGAGAATATTTCAATAATACCATAAAATAATTGAATAACATGATGATATAGTAGTGGAATAATAATACTTCATTTCTTACGAATAATAGAGATGAGAAGCGAGATATTCTAAGCATAGCAAAATCCGAACATAGGTCTAAGTTCGGAGTCCTGCCTGATGTAATATTTTTCGCTTACGTTCGCGCAAAATCCATCATGCTGCCTCGCGATGCTGCCTCCCCTCCCTTCCGTCGCTGCGGCCGGCGTCCAGTCTGCAGGTACAAGTTTATTTATGTATTTTTTTCATAAAAATGAGAACTTTGGAGAATCTCAGAAGCAGGGGATCGAGTCCGAGCCGGCGCGCTGTCGGAGGAGACAGTGCTTGCTGCGTGTGTTGAGACGGGAAGATCATTTTCTACTGCTGCTTCTTCTTCTTCTTGTACTTTCTGTCGTCGATTTGATGAACTAGAAGCGTGGCAGAGACGACGCCGTTGTTAGGGGCATTTGATAGGTTCTTGGCGGAAGGCCAAAGGCGGCGGCAGATGTGGAGGAAAATGAAAAAATAACTCTGAGTGGTTTCAGTGTTATAATTAACCCAGAGAAAGTATTATTCAGACTTGAGAACTAGGTGAGGAAAGCCCTCCGCCACCGCCGCCGGCGACACCACCGCGGTTCGCCGTCGCTTGCATCGCTCCGACCACTTGTCCAGTAAATCTCTAAGTATCCCGTTGAAGTTTCCGCAGACATGGGAGACTATTATATACCTTATAATGATATGAAAAACAAGTAATTTAGTTCACCAATTTGTCAATTAGATTAGACGGGAGGAGTTTTTTAGCCATCTTCATCAACTTTTTGAACCAAAAGATTAAAGATGTTTTCTAAAAGATTTCTATTTGTTGTAAACTTGAACACCCCTTTCTTTGTGCCACATATCAATATAACATTTGGAATCTACTCATCTGGATAAAATATTTTTAGCTTCCTGTTGTTGAACCAAATAACAAAATGTTCGACTGCCTTGCCTTGAGTCAGCTTTAAACAAAAAAGTGAATTATTTTTCTTATCTTAAAAGGAAAATAAATGGCTCTTCTATGGTTCTACATAAGTGAAATGTTATAAAATTAGTTGATAAGTGTTGGGTGGGGCAAATTACAATATCTTTATATTTTATCTTAGCATGAAATATTTTTATATGTAAACTATTTTGATCATGTATATGCATGTGCTATAGAAATGGATGAACGAATAGTAGACAATGATAACTTGTTGGACTATAATAAGCAATATCATTTAATTATTCATGTAGTTGCTACTACCGCAGTGAGTAGTATATAATTATAATTAGATGAAGATAAGAAGTCAAAGAAGAAATTATAATCCTGACTGAGATATTCAATGTCAAATATATCTCTTTAGATTATATCTTGGTTCTGATTCTGATTGTGTAAACATGGTGCGAATGTAAAAAGAATATTTTTTCAAGTTGTGTAATGTACTGCGAACAAGAAGATTCCTTGTCGACACAAGTCATACATGTATAGAAGAACAAGTTGCTATGTTTCTACAGACACTTTGTCGCAGTGTTTGTAATCAAGTCATACAATTCAACTTTCAAAGATCGTGAGAAACTATCAGTAGGTATTTCAATAATATATCATGTCATTCGAGAGTTGTGACATGAAATGCTTAAGCCTTTACTACTCCAAACTCCATATAAAATACAAGTAAATTCTAGATTTATGCCATTTTTTAAGGTACATTCACAAATAACACTTCATGTTACATTTTTTATTTGTTTTTTTTCTAAAATAATTATGTGATTAGGATTGTGTTGGCGCTATAGGCGATACACATATTAAGGATAGATTACCAAAGAAATATGAATCCGCTTTTAGTGGAAGAAAATTATATCCAAGTCAAAATGTGCTAGCAGCAGTGGACTTCGACTTAAGGTTTACATATATTTTAGCAGGTTGGGAAGGTTCAGCCCTACCGTCTTTAGAATTGTAGCAGAACGTCCTAATAGTTTACGTGTTCCAGAAGGTATATAAATTAGGTTCATATTAAATATTATAAATTATTATATTTTTTTAATTAATATCAATTAGTAATTATTGCGGGCAAATACTACATAGCCGATGGTGGTTACTCAACCAAAAAATATTTTCTCTCTATAACGTGCAATAAGATATAACTTAAAGGAGCTTAGTGGCATTACACCAACAAATAATAAGGAGTTATTCAATTTTTGACACTCGTCTCTATGCACAATTGTGGAGCGTGATTTTGGTTCATTGAAGAACCGATTTGCAATTTTAACGAGCGAGCCCTTATTTTCATTTGAAAGCCAAGTTGACATTTTTAGAAGTTGAATTGGTCAGACGAGGTCGTGTTAGAAGAAGATGTGAACATATTTTAGATGACTCTCATGAGTGGCTAGAAAAAAGAGATCACATATCTGTTGTCATGTAGAATTGTATGAATACTATTGACTATTAGCTGAAATGTTATTTAACTTTTATTTTTTGAATTATACTAGTCTCACTTTTGGACTTTAATAGTTTTAAATTTCAAAAAGTAATATCTTTTTTGTGAATAGATATGTCCTTTTGTGTTCGTTGTATGTTCTCTTTGCAAGCAACTTTTTTTCTTCATTAAACAATATACCTTGAATTTGTTGTGACACTGTAAATATTCTTTACATATTTTTAGTTATGTATTTGTAGTATGTTTTTTATTATTGACAAAAATTATGGATACACAACAATCAACCACTCCAACTGCTTCAAAGAACAAGGAAAGAAAAAAATTCATGTGGAACTTAAAGGCTGAGTGGGTCACCAGTTTGTTACTAATTATGGTTGAATATGTTGATTTGAATAGGAGAAGTGCCCAAGGATATAAGGAGTCTGCATATCACAGAGCTGCTCAAAAGCTAAAAGAGAAATTTGGAGTTGAAGTTATAGAGGAGCAGTGTAAGAACTAAATTCGACACCAAAGAACCATTATATTCAAGAATTAAAGAAAAAATCTGACATGTCTTGGCATGAAAATAAAAAAATATATTAATAGGTTTTGAGGAATATATATCTCATATGCAAATATTACTTTGGCTAAAGTATTTTTCTAATAAATCAGAAAATGAAGAAAAGTTCCCTAATTTATGATTATTGTGTCACAGGCTTTTCCTAGAGACACAATGCTTCTGAATGTTTCAATTGCAAATTATATGGAGTTGGATAAGGTATGCGGTGAAGGTCATACCACTGGAGATTGAACATTGTCTGAAAGTAGTCAAATTCCTCTTGACACCCAACAAATAAATTTGGATGATGACAAGATTGAAGCTTTAGGAGATATTGGAGGAGATGCATCACTTTCTATGCAGTTGCCTGAAGTGGAAGTAGAAGAAAGAAGCAAAAAAAAATTGAAGTGGGATATGTCATTTTCCTTGAAGGGGTGTGGTTAAAAAAAGAAAACAAGTTTTAATGATGATCACAACATTCATGACTACATTGCCATGTTGACCAATAATGTTGGTAAATTTTCTGGCGCTATAAAAATTACAGGAGCCTCAGAAGATAGAAAATTGTTCACCAAGTTAATGACAGATTTGTCTAATATTCCAGGTTTCTTAGAGGAAGAAACTGACATTATTTTTGCTAAATTATCAAAGAATATAGTAATTATACATGTATTTCTGTCGAAGTCAATGGAGTCTGGTTAGGTGGACGCAGAATGAGCTAAACAAGTAACCTAGTTCTATGGGGATGAATGAGGGTGTTAGATTGATATTACTTAGCATTTTATCTTGAACATATGCTATGTAGTGAATTTGAATTCATATTTCGGTGTGTTCTTTCAAATTTTTAGGGGTCAATGATCCTGATTTTCTATATAGATAGATATAAAATGCGATTTATGCAATTAATTTTCTTAATAGATATTCTTAATTTGCAACAAAACAAAAAACTTGATCTAAAGCAAGAGTTAGACAAATCTTTCACTATGAAACAAATAAGAATGCATTTATAATATTTTAATATGCGATACTACATAATTATACATATCGTTGTCAAGTAATATAGAACTTTTTGATTAATTCTTGAATATCGATCCCACAGGGAGGACTAATTTTTTATAACAAAATTTTACTTAACAATATTTTACTTAAACTTAAGATGCTAAAATAGAATAAAAGTTCATTTTTTTGTAATTTTTGATAATTGAAAATAAAACAAACAACTAATTAACTTAATTAAAATAATTGCAAGATGAAAATAATATAAATAAAATATCTTTTTTATTATCATGAATCAGTGATAAATATAGAAATTTTGTTATAGAAGTATGTTAAATGTGTTGTGTCAAATATGAACAATAATATTCTTTACCCTTACTAGAGATGCTATAAAAAATATTGACCAATCTATAGTTTGAATAATCTTGAAAACCAACTAGGCAAGGAAGATACTAGCTCTCACCCTAGGGTTCTCTCTTCTCCCTCCACCCGGGGGCTAACATCTCGTATCAAAATCTAAAACTATAAATCAAATTGCTATAAATCAAATTGGGGGCAAATCAAATTGGGGGCTTTAGTCTGTCACTCCAAAGTCCTCTAATTCTACATCCTTTAAGATATATTTCTTTATTTATTTGCACTCAACCCATAAACTACATTCTCATTCATGAAATCAATATGTGATTCTAACCATTTGTTGACTGAGACAATACTATCTCGAATCTTACATGTTCTCACAACAGATATTAACATCTTAATTGACCAAATCAAGAAGTAAATGAAGTACAAAGTTTCAAATCAATACAACTTCTTCCAACATTGAAGTCTAATACTTCACACAACTCTCTTTAAATACTTTATCACTTATCATTATAAGGAAAAAAAATAAAAAAAAATACTCAGAATTCATGGAGAAAACACAACCACACATGTTTAAAAGTAGAAATCATGCACACAAACAAGAAATCTAAATTAAAACTAAGTGTAGATACAAAAATAAACACTTATCTCAAATTCTCTCTATCAAATATCTTGAAGTTCCTTTGAATTCTCTTCCTCCTCTCACAATACAAACTAACACTCAAAATAAAATAAAGTAAAGGTGGCCGACGGCGGCGATGGGCTGTGAAGTTTGATGGATGGCTGACCCCTTTTCTTGGAAAATCTAAGTATTTTCTTATAAAAATCGAAGGGGAGCATTAGTGTCTCTTAAAAAAGGTGTCTTCATTCAATGAATCTTCTAAAAGTTGCATC